TTATCCCATTTTGCTCCTATTTTGGAATGCGCTTGCATTCCCAGCCGTTTTACTTCCTTATTTTTCCTTTCACTGCCTCTTTTTAACCCCCTTAAAAACCCTTATTTCCATTTTCCCTTTTCACATTTCAATTTACCTTAATTATCATTTTCACATTTTCAACCCCTCCAAAAACTATTACATCCTCTTTTGTGACCATTTTAGTTTCTGTACAACATTAATATAAATGCAAATTTTCGACCATCCCCATTAGCTGAGCAGAAAAAGAAGAAGCATATTTCTTCATCTTTCCGATCAAACCTTTTTTTTTCTCTTCAGCATCGCAAATTGTATTCAAAACACAAACAAAAGTTGAATAATTGGCCAACGCACGGGCTGCGTCGGTTTTTTCGGCAAATCCTTCAAGCTAAACAAATTAAGACTGGCCGCCAAAACTGGCAGGAAGCACCCTCTTAAAATTTCAGCTCTCTAGCTCTTTTGGCTCCTAGAAAAAATTTTTTTACGAGCCCGCACTCAGGCACCACGTATACTCGATGTCTGGGTTTGAGCTCGTTGAGACTTACTTGGACGAGGTACATCCTCCTAAAACTACAGTCTTTTAGTTTTACAGGTTCTCCACTTATGAGCTAACCCAAGAAAAACTTTGGTGAACCTGTGCGTAGGTACCACGCATAACTGCGGGCTGGGTTTGATCTCGTTGAGACTAATGTGGACGAAAAACACCCTCTTAATGTTACAGACTTCTAGCGTCTCAGATCCCCGAGTTATGAACTTGCCCGGGAAAAATTTTGACGGGCCCATTCGCGGGTGTCATATTTACCGGGGGGTTGAGTTCGAGCTCATTAGTACCTACTTGGACGGGGAACATTCCCTTAAAATTTCAGCTTTCTAGTATTTCAGATCCCCGAGTTATAAATTTACGCGGGAAAAATTTTGGCGAGCTCGTACGTGGGTACTACGCGAGTAAGACCGCCCATTTCGGGGTTGGAGGCTCGTACATGCATGTAGATTATATCCCCAAAGTTTCAGCCCTGTAACTTTTGCCGGTTTCGAGATGAAAAATCGGGACAGACGAACACACAAACACACACACAGACATACAGACACACACACAGGCAACCTCTCGTCAATATGCGTTTTCTGCATTGCATAGCTGCAAAAAACGCATAAAAGTGAACTACTGGTAAGTGCCCTCAACATAAAACTGACGCTGTGCAAATCGTTTCATATGTTTTAGACGTAAAGGAATCTTGAATCAATTTCAGTGTATTTTCCCAGGAAATTCCTCCAAACAGGACCCAACAATTTCGAGGAATACTGAAATGCTGAAAACTCCTGCACGCATTCTTTGCCTCCCCGAAAACTAGTTATGAGTAATTAGTTGTAAAAAATTTCAAAGATCCCCGTCAAATGGGTTCAAAAAATGCAGACGCTTAAAATTCGGTATTACACGCAATGACTCTGGTTGCCTGTGCAGCAGAAACAAATGTGAGATTTCCTACATTAAAAGGAGATCGAGCCTGAAACCGTGCTTTGCTTTTTCTCCCAGCATATCAGGCTCCGTAAAATTAAGCTTCCCGGTAGCTATAGCACTAAAAATAATTAATCTGAGCGGACAAATATATGGACAGGGAAACACATACATGCACAAAAATACGCACACACACACCCATACACACACACACACACCCATACACACATACTCATACAAATATTCATACAATGATGCATTTTTAATTTTGTTTGTAAACACGTAAAGACTTACTGTGTATCGATATGTTTACATATGCGTTTGTATTTGATATGTCGCTCAATACGAGAAATGAGAGATTTGTAGAACGATCGCAATTGCATGGAGATTAAAATACATGCCATGCTTAAGACAACTTGCGAATAAAGCTGCAATAAAAAATTTTGAATCGCAGCCCGTGAATTTTTGGTGTTTCCTTTGTATCGCCATCAATTTTCTCTCAGGCAATCTTCAAACGAGAAAACTGTGAAGAGCCTAGGCAACATGTGATTGCTGTTGCCACCAAGTACCACCAACCAAGCTACTTTCGAATGCCTTTATCTTTCAAAATTAGCAGATACAGAGGGGCCTTTTTGTGTCTCCTCCGCTCGAATATTTAAATGTACACCCGCATGAAGCTATGAGAGCTCAGTGGACCAAAACTGAGCAGAAGGGGAACGCTGAGACTGTAGCGAAGCGAGAGGGGCAAAAAAAAATCATTTGTTCAAGCTATCAGAAAATATTTAAAAAAAAAAAAAAAATGAATTTCTCGTCACTGAAAATGTGCCATTGACAAATGAAGATGTGTTTTGT